AAGAAAGAAAGAAAAACCTCACGTAATATGTATCATTATATCATTAACTTTGAACACACGGTCAACAGCACATAACTCATGCCTGAACGAAGCTTCTGTAACTCACGTATTTTCTCCGTAAGGCACACTGCAGCCTTCCTGTGGCTAGGAATGCTAGACGGTGCATCAGCCCTGGGCCTAGGAGGCATTTTAAATAGCGAAATCACCAAGAGAAAGCACAGAACTGCAAGAAACGTGACATTGAATAGACTGTGAAAAGGACACTGGTTTACAGCACGAGAGTTGGAACGAGCTGTCGCCTTGTTCAGCCTCACCTGGGGCTATGCCTGTGGGGTGACTCAAATTTGTTGCCACTGTGCGCATGTCCACCGATGACCACAAAAGTGCCACGGCTGTTGATTTTGGGATTACGAGTAAATTTTAGTGCCTGGGTAAATTTACATATGCACGCATATATTATTATCTCCCTATTTGACCGCTGAGGAAACTGAGGCACAGAGACACTTGCCCAGGTCACACAGCTGCTGAGCTAACGAGCTGGGTTTTGAAGCCAGGCAGCCAGGCTCAGAATATGGGCCCTTACCCGCTATGCTGTCCGGAGTTCCAGGTCATAGCTCATTGGAGAGGATTCCAGAGTAAGTGTGAACATCTTCAATCTCTCAGAGGGAAGGGACACCCAGCTCTCCCCACCCCTCCGTGAGCTCTCCCCATCCCTCCGTGAGGCAGGCGGCGTTCCGGGTCCAAAGCGGAGCATGGCAGTGCCCTCTCGTCAGGCGTCTGGCCGTGGAGGAGGGCCGCTGCGCGTTGTTACGAGCTCTGTGGTAGTTAGTTAATCCTCACTGCCCGTCTCTGGTGTGATTTTACAGAAGGGAAAACTGAGGCCAGCCCAGGTCACACAGTGTGTTTGTGGGACAACCGCACGCGGGTCCAGACCAGGCAGAGCCACCCCCCTAAGGGACTTGGGACCCCACTGTTGGTTTGAAGGTGCAAGTCTGACCTGGATGGGAGACCCAGAGGGTGCAGAGCCTCCTCGGCTGCCCTGGAGCCTGGTGCTCAGACCTGCCCACAGCCCTGGTCTGTGGCTCTCCGGGCCTCCCTGTGGCCGTGGGCGGTCGCCCCTCTCACAGTGGGCTTCGTCACCAGCTGTGAAATGAGAAGCCGTGTAGGCAGTCCAGGAGGGCCCTAGGGTTTGATCACTCCAACCCTGTGACTCTGAGACGCTGTTGTGCTCTGGCCTCAAAACTCTAGGACAGGGGACACTCTGGGAGGGCAAGGCCTGGATTTTGATCAGTGTCCTGGTCCCCATTCATCTGATCTGTGTTCCCAGAGTTTGAGTCACTTAGGTTACTTGTGCCTGTCTCTGGTTTCCTGAGGGGACACTGCCCTGGAAGTCTGAGGGGACATAGCTTGCCCTGGGGAGTGCCAATTTGAGGAGAGAGAAGGAAAAATATCCCAGAACAGCAAGAGATTTAGGGCAAATGCTCCTTCGGGAGCTCTGGGCCCTGCGGTGGGGCTGGGGGAGTCCTTGTTACTATTGGGGGGCAGGCTCGACAGGCCCTCGGTACCCCTCTCTGTCCTCCCTCAGGTACCTCTACCCAGATGGAAAGAACCGCAACCCAGACCTGACTGAACTCTACCAGGTGGAGCCCCATCAGCGCATCCAAGTGTCAGAGGTGAGCCCAGGCCTGTGTCCCCCTCTGTGTACCCCCCATCCCTGCTGACTGCCCCCACCCACCCCCCACGCTTGGCTCAGGAATTCTCTCCCGTGGAGTCAGGCCCTGGTGCCGGTGCGGTGGCTGTGTGACCTGGGGTAAATTACTTGGCCTCTCTGAGTCCTCGTTCCTCTTCTAGAAAATACAGCTTCTCCTTCCTCCTATCTAGGGGTTTTTGTGGGGATTAAAGCAGGAAATGACACTTCTGAGATCATCCGTTCGTGCATTCACCAGTGACAACCCCTGTGCCTCAATCTTCACAGTCGCCCCATGGGTGGAAAAGTAACAACGAATAATTTTTTTTTTTTAGTATATCCCATGCAATATTTGGGATATATTTATACCTAAAAATTTATTCTTCGTGTGTCTGAAAATCAAATATAATAGTGCATCTTGCATTTTCAGCTGCTCAACTTGGCAACCCTGAGTGCACACCACCCCAGAGAACAAATCTCATACATGTAGGAGGCAGCTAGACACATGGCCTTGAACTCGAGAGAGGGTTTGGGGCTGGCTTCCTGGGGCCCGACTTGTATCCCCATGATGGACGTCACTGCCCCTTCGCATCCTCCCCATCTTCTCACCTGCCAGGAGCAGCTGCAGCTGTACTGGGCCATGGACTCCACGTTCGAGCTCTGTAAGATCTGTGCCGAGAGTGACAAGAATGTGAAGATCGAGCCGTGCGGGCACCTACTCTGCAGCCGCTGTCTGGCTACGTGGCTGGTGAGTCTGACCCAGACCTGCCTTTCTGCCCAGCCTCCCACACTGTCTCTGTGGTAAAATTCCCTAAAGGATCTCCCGCATGCCTCAGTCAGATGGGGAAACTGAGGCTCAGGGACAGTGGAGACTTGCTCAGGGTCGCTCAGGACCCCACCTGTCTGCGTCTGTGTCTCTGTCTCCATCTCTGTGCACCTGTCACCTCCGCTTCTCCTTGAGCTACATCGTTCATGGACAGGGCTCCTTCCTTCCCTCGCTGGGCCATCTGGGGCTGGTGGCTTCCCCTCTCTGAGCCTCAGCCTCGGCCTGTGGAGCATAGAGCTGATAGTAACCTCCCAAGGGCCAGAGTGAGGATCCAAGCCCCGACGCCCTCAGAAAAGACCCCTGGGGAAAGCGAGCCTCAGCCGCTCTGGAGCGTAAGTGCCTGGCATTAAGCTTTGGGATTGTGTGAGTGCATGACATTAAGCCTTTGATTGCCAACTCATCCATTTCAGTAAACAAATGACCTGTCGTGTGAAGCAGCTACCAGAGAGAGGAACCAGGCCATCCCACCACCACTAGGCTCCCCTTTAGAAAGCCCTGGGTAACCCAGGCAACGGACAGCTTAAGCGACTCTGCTTCTCCTGTCCTGCACCTTAATTCCCACCCCTGTGCTTTAAATTCGCCAATAAAGAGCCCCTAAGCGCCCCGCTGGGCCCCTGATAAAGGCAAAGCCCAGGGTCCATGCATCCCCCTCCCTCTATACCTGCGACCTCGCTGTGTGGCACACCCGTTGTGTGGCCCTCGGGGCGTGCCGTTGACCCTCCAGGAACTGTCAGTAATAAATCTTGTTCTTCAGAGTTCCCTGACGGTTTTCACTGAGGCACATCCCACAGTCATAACCCACGAAGGCCAGTGCGACCACAACGCTGGCCCCATTGGTGGCGGCGGAACGGCTGGGGGGCCCAGGCGAGTGTCTCAGGCATTCCTAGCCAGTAGCATCATTCGATGGCTGAGACCCAGACGACACCCTGGCTCCCCCGGGCTCCCCACTAGTGCGCCCTCCCAGCCTCGGGCTCCTGTCCAGTCCCCGCTTCCCATCCTGCCTCTCTCTCCCCATCTCCCTCTCTTCGTGACTCTCTCTCTCCATCCTCCTCCCTCTGACTGTCCTCCCTGCCTCACTCTGTTGGAGGCAAAGGCCCCCGTGGTCCCAGGGGAGGTGGAGGAAACCAGCAGACCCTGACCCTTCTCCTCCCCGCCCACAGCAGTCAGACAGCCCGACCTGCCCCTTCTGCCGCACCGAGATCAAGGGCCGAGAGGTCGTGAGTATCCACCAATTCCAAGAGAGGCCAGCGGAAGAAGCCAGGGCCACTCCTGAGGCCCTGGAGTACAGCAGTGACCAGGAAGTGGGAGAGGAGGAGCTGGGGCAGGTAAGCAGGGCCGGGCGGGAGCTGGAGCTAAAATTCCCAGGCCTGAAGGAGGAGGGTCTGGGGGCCTGGACTCCTAGTTCTGGGGGAGGAGGGTCTGGGGGCCTGGACTCCTAGTTCTGGGGGAGGAAGGGGCTGGGGGCCTGGACTCCTGGGTCTGGAGGAGGAGGGGCTGAGGGCCTGGACTGCCAGGTCTGATGGAGGAGGGGGCTCGTGGCAGGATTCTAGGGTCCTAGGGGCCAGGCCTTTTGCTTCCCCGAGGGTCTGGGGCTGTGGCCGTCTTCACTTGGGACCCTGCTGGGGGTCGGAACTCTGTCTCCTTCTCTATTATACCTCCAGCGTCTAGAACAGGGCTCGAGTGCCGGGATGCCAGGCAGGAAGATGTAGTTGAGAAGAAAATGACAGCTCCCAACCCCTCCCCACCCTCTGTCTTCCCCAGGTGACCCCTTTACCTCCCCCACTGCCCCCCCGGCTGGATCTGTTCCCTGACAGCCCCAGAATTAAAGGCCAGCTGAAGGCGGTGAGTCAGGTGCTGGTCCAAGGGGGGCGGCCTGGGTCTCGTCCCACCGCCGGGCCCTGGTCTGGCTCGGCGTTCATTCTCTGCGCCTAGTTACAAGGGGCCGTGTGATCTGACATCCACCCCTCTATGGCCTCTTCCCTTGTTTTGTCCCTTACTCAGTCCCCCTCACTGGCTGTGTGGCTCTCCGTCCAGCCTCCCAGGCGCGTCCTGCCCCAGAGCCGTTCCCTCCGCCTGGATCTCTTTCCTTCAGGCTTGCATTCTCATCCCTCCCTCAAGGAGGTCTTCTCTGACCATCCTATTGAAAAGCGCCATGGTCCTTCCAAGCCCCCACCTGCTATATTTTCTTAGTCCCTGTCATCACCTGACTAAGAGGACAGTTTCTGTTGTTTTCTGTCCCCGGCAGCAGGTTGCTCCCCTCCTGAAGGAAAGGACTTTGCCTCATTCTGTGACATCTCCGCAGTCTCGGACAGTGCCTGGCACCTAGTAGGTGCTCACTAAATAGGCATTGCGTGACTAAGTCGAACTGAGTCTCCCCAACAGCCCATGAAGTTGAAAATGTCCCAGTCTTCATCTTTCAGAGGAAAAACATCCAGAGAGGTGTCTGCACCTGCCCAAACCCACACAGCGTGAGCGAGGAGAAGCCAGCATTGGGGGGGCCTTAAAACCCCCCCCAAAATCATCTGCTATTTTCTTAACGCTCTGTGATCGGATAGGTTTAACAGCTAGGAGGTGCAGAATGTAGTCTCATCACCTTATTTTCTAAGCTAGCCCAGTGTTGCTTGCTTCTCCGCCAGGATTTTCTGAGACCCTGGCCTACTGGGGAGGGGCAGATCTGTTAGCATCTCAGACTGAGTACACAAAAGATCAAATCAATACCTCTGTCTTCAAACAGCTCAGGAAGTCCGGGAACTTTTCGACAAACAAGAGAGCCAGCAGGACGGGGTTGGGGGTGGGGCCAGGATTTTACCCTGGCCTACTGGGGAGGGGCAGATCTGTTAGCATCTCAGACTGAGTACACAAAAGATCAAATCAATACCTCTGTCTTCAAACAGCTCAGCTCATCCGGGAACTTTTCGACAAACAAGAGAGCCAGCAGGAAGGGGGTGGGGGGGGGGGGGCGGGGACCCAG